CAGGCAGCATGTAGAAAATAACTAGTTATGTTTGCTCTAGTAAAATATCAGAAATAAGAGTATTTCTCTCCTATGTGAACTCACACCTAGTTCTGTCCAAGTTGCTCTTTCCTTCTACTGGGCAATAGCTTAGGAGGAGCCATAGCTTTCCCAGTTACAGGCATTTATTAAACATTCTCATACTCAAGTGCTAAAAAAACCTAGTCTTAACTAACTCAACTACACTTTCATTTTAATGGAATTTAAATTTCCCTTCCCTCCCAACAGAATTGAAAGGAGTTTCTTCTTGTTTTTTGTTCTGCTTGATTTCCCTCCAGCTAGTTGCTTTTCTGGCTTCTCTAGACTTGGAACAAAGAGAAGAAATGTAAAATAAAAAATAAATAAAAACGTCTTACTAAATTGTAGGTACTCTTCTTATCTCCTGTACTGTCCCCATGGTAGGTGCTCAAATGGTGGCTCAGCCTCTGATGAGCCCTAGTACTCAGTGGGAAAAGGTCCTTTCAAGAAACTCAACCCAAGTACTGTCCACAATCCACTCTGCCACACCAAAAACTGGGCATGCAGGCCACTCCTGCTGCTGCCTCCCCTTTTACTCCAGCAAGGTCAGCCAGCATCTTACTTTTAGACTTTTCTAGATAAGAGTGAGACATCAGCCATCTCATTCCAGAGTACAGAGGCTGAGCTCTCCCAAGAAATCTCTCTCTCTCTCTCTCTCTCTCTCTCTCTCTCTCTCTCTCTCTCTCTCTTCCCCTCTCTCTCTTGGTGGTGCCATGGGGTCCTGGAAATTGAGGATCCTACTCAGAGATGGAAAGAGAGGGAGGGCATCACAGTGTTCCACCTGGGTGACAACTCTCTTCAAAGAACTTGCCACCCCAGCACACACCAAATTTCCCATTCATTCCCTGTGAAATGAAAGAGCCTTGGAGTAGGTATTGGGAACCTGTTTTGAAACCCGATTCCCCCTAACAGAGTGTATGACTTTGGATAAGCCACTTAATTTTATTTGAAAGTAAGTGAATATTTAGGTGGCCCTCAGTTAGTCCTTCAAATACAGACGTGGAGCACTCAGGAGGGGAGTCTATCAAGCATGTTCTTACCCACTGTCCAGGAAATCTTGACAGGGCAACTAAGCCTCTTCTTAATCTCAGCGAACACCTTTTGGGAGTGATGACTTAATTTCATCTCATTCTTGCTTCCTTCCATCCAGGAAACCTATCAATGCATATTTAGATATAGGAATTCATACAGTGTCACCACCAAAGATGTCACTGTTCACCGCTGCCTCAGGAGTCGAACATCATG